ACCCACGAGGACCAGGGGAGTGCGCGGCGTGAGGGAGGGAAGGAGGGATAGATGGAGAGGAGGGCAGCGCCACCTTGGGCCGTGCCGCACCCCCCGTGCTTGCTGCGATGCATCCGGTTGCTGCCTGATGCAGAGCACTCTCCAGTTGGTCTGGCGGCAGCATTGCACCCCTTGTATCACTCACATGTGTGTACAGCTTCTCCACACCGCTGAAGCCAGTCGCCCGCTCGTGGTGCTCCTTGATCACTCGGGGCAGCTCCTCGAGCGGCACCACGGGGCACCACCGCCACTCTCCGCTGCGCTTGACGCAGCGGCACAGGATGTCCTGACCGCCAGCGCCCTTCAGCACCTGGAAGAACTGCAGCACCTTCTTGCTGTAGTTCTTGGTGCCGCCCTGCACTGCCGCCCCCCCTCCCGCACCCCGCCGCCGCCGGCCTGAGGGCGCCTGCTGGTCGCCCTGCTTGATCCGGATGATGCCCTCTACATCTGACTTAGTGAGAAACACATTCTTGGCGCCGTTTTGGCGCCGTTCTAAGGCATAAAGGATGACAGGTTGGTTCATAATTTTAAATTTGCGGCAGCTGCGGGGTGCGGGAGGGGAGAAATAGAAGCCTTAGAGACTTTGAAAGGCGAAGGAAAGGGAGGGATCGCGGGAGAGAGCGTGCCTGATGAGCCAGACGAATCGGGGGAGGTGCCACATCAGCGGGCAACACATGGGCTCAACGGCGCCCTAGTGGTCGGCGGCATGCTGTGCGCTGCGCTGGCCTGCCGGTTGGCGCCCTCTGCCAAATTCCAGTATCGTTTGCGCTCATTCGCATTGAGTCCAGCGCAGTCGCCCCGCCGGTCCTTCGACTGCCTGGTCCGCTGGCTCCTGGCCAGGAGCGGGCCCAGCCTGCGGCTCTCCAAAACGCCCACCTTGCGCTGCAGGATGGAGAACGCCGACTCGAATAGCGCGCAGCAAGCGCGGGGCTGCGGGTGAGAGCTCGCCGAGGCAGGAAGCTCCTTTGTGCTGTGGCTGCCGCGGCCATTGCCTGATGAAGTGCCTCCACCTCCTCGCAGCCTGCCCGAGGGCCTGCTTGCCAAGGTGCGGGAGGAGCTGACATGCGTCATTTGCTACGAAGTCTCCGTGCGCCCCAGCACACTGCCCTGCGGTTAGTGGGCGGCCGGTGGGTGGTGGCGGCAAGGCGGCCGACAGTGCACTCCACTTGTTCAGGGCTGCAAGGCCTGGCCAGGAAGCGCCCGGCAGCGTCCTTCTGCGACCCCTGCACTGAGCGCGCCTGCAGGTCACACCGCCTGCCGCGGCTGCTTCAATCGGGCGCTGGCGGCGGCCGCATCCCAGCCAAAGTGCCCGTCGTGCCGCGCCCCGCTGCCCATCGGCATGCCGGCGCTGGCGCTCAACACCACCCTGAAGTCCCTGGCAGAGCTGCTGCTGCCCGGTGAGTGGCTGGGCTCAGAGGAAGCGCCTATACATATCCACCCATTTTGTGGGTGCTGGCCCCAGCACCGCAGGGAGTGAGCAGGCACCCACATCCGTGTCCTCCGCTCTGGAACCCACCCGTCCCTGCCTCCTGGTCCCTGGCGCAGACGAGTGCGTGCAGCGCGGCAGCGCCACATCCACACCACCCGAGGCGCCGCGCCCCGCCGTGCTGGAGCAGCGCGTCGTGCTGCGCAGCGGCGCCGGCGGCCGCGCCGTGTCGCTGCATTCCTCCCATGAGCTCAACCGCCAGGAGCGCAGCTCCGCTGGGGCGGGGCTTCAGGCGCTGCTGACGGTGATGGAGGATCGGTGGCCCGAGGCGCGGCAGCAAGGCACCCGCGCGGCCGCGGAGGGCCAGCAGGCCAGCAGGCAGGGCATGGCCGCGCGCCTGGTCCCCGGCGCCGACGCGCCGGCAGCGCCAGCTGGTGCTGCCGCCCTGCCGCGGTGGCGCAGCCCCGCTGCCCGTGTGCCGCCCGCCCCCGCTGCCCAGACAGAGCAGCAGCTGCGCTGGCCGAGCGCCTTTTCCCGCGTGCCCGACCACACGCCCCAGCAGCGCCTGGCCGGGGCAGATGCTCCCACGCTGATGATGCGCGTGCTGGATCGCGTGAATCGGGAGCTGAGTGGCATGCTGTCCCTGGTGCCGGAAATGGAGGGGCAGGTCCGGCAGGCCCAACAGAACCAGTCGGATCTGGATCGCCTCCTTCAACGGCTGGAGAGCTTGCACCAGCGCTTCCCCACACCTTCCAACAACCGCCGGCAGGCTGCCGCAGCCGGCGCGGCACAGCCGCCCGCGCCGCCGCCAGCCAGCGGCCTGGGTGCCTCCCCGTCTCCCTTGGGGCTCCGCAGCACGGGGCCGCGCTCTCAGCAGGCTGTCACGCCAGGCAGCGGCACGCCGGCCGCTGCTGGCCATGCCGGTGCGCCGCTGCCTGTGCTGCCTGCCAGGCGCACTTCGCCCAGCAGCCACATGCGCACCGCGGCTGTGCCAGAGATGCGGAATGAGATGACCTGGGGTGAGCTTGGCTGGCTTCCCCTGGTGTTCCGCCCGCCTCCCCTTTTAAGTTCTGGTGCTCAGGGGGATGCCCCTGGTCTCGGGCCCTAATGGGTGCTGGTTCGCCTGCTGTCTGCCCCCTGCAGGCCAGGACGGCATCGACACCACGCTGACGCCAGAACAGCGCTACGCTCTGGCAGTGCGGGTGGCCCACTCCACCGCCCCCGGCCAGGCCCTGCTGGCTGTGCGCTACATCGGTTCTGTGTACGAGGCAGTGGGCGATGGCGGCGAAGCCCCCACCGCGCTGGATACTACTGCCTCTGACCTCTACGCTGCGCTGGCGCACCAGCTCAGCCGCCACATGGCCGGCGCCGAGGCCGCCCTCGGGCGCACCACCAGCACAGCCAGCACCGCGCCGGCGGCTGCCGCGACCCCTGCCAGCGCCGCGGCGGCAGGCCCACCTTCCTCCCACACCAGCGAGGCATCTGCGACAGCTGCTTCCGCACCGCCAGCATCCCTCACAGCCGTGGCTGGTGCCACCGAGGTGGAGCCCGGTGTGCCTCCCACCCAGCCAGCTGCTGGCGCCGCCGCAGCTGACTCCGTGCTGCTGTCCACCCAGACCTTTGTGGCTGCCGCTCTGGATACTCTGCTGGCGGGGCTGCACCTGCCCCACGTGTCTTCCCAGCTGAGCCAGGTGAGTTAGGGCGACTTTGGAGGTCAGGGGAAGCGGGATGCCGGCAGCACTGGGGCCTTCACCTGGGGTAAAGCCCCTGCCTGATTTGCTGCTCCTCCCCTCCTGCTCATTGCACATTCCTCAGGCCGCCATCCATGAGTGCCTGGCCAGCAGCCTGTGCGTGCTGGCCAACGCGGCGCTGCTGCCTGTCAACGGCTCGGCGCAGGTGCAGCGCTCGCTGAGCAAACTGCTCGACATGGTGCGCTGCCACTTCACACCTGGCTGTTTGCGCTCGCAAGGCTTCCCGTAGAGTCTCCTCTAGCGGACCCTCACTTTGCGAGTTTCCCCCTGCGCCGCCTGCAGCTGGTGTGCAGCCCCGGCGCCCCTGCTGTGATGGGTGCACTGCTGTCCCTGCTGCGCGCTCCCTTCACCACAGCACAGCTGCGCGGCACCGCGCCGCCCGCCATGCCCGCCGGCCGCGCCATGTTCATGCACCACCTCTCCAGGACGCTCATCAAGTCCACTCTGCTCTTCCGCCGCCGGGCAGAGGTGGGTGGTGCCGGCCCGCCTCGCCCTCTGTGATGCCAATGCTTCCAGGCTGGGCAGCTGTGCCTGCTCAGCCCATCCTCGTGTCCGTTGGATCCTGTGTCAATGGGGAGGGGAGCGGCCACCCCATTGAGCTCCAATGGAGCTACACTGACTGGTGGTGCCTGCTGTGGACCCCTCCACTGACTGCAGGGCGCCGACTTGGGCGCCGTGCTTCAGTCCCTGCACCTGCTGCTGAGTGACCAGCGCCACCCCGACAGCCCCACGGCCCAGCAGCAGGAGAGCGCAGCCAAGCGCTTCATCTCTGCTGTCTGTGCGGCGGTGCAGGTACCGCCGAGCTGCGCAGCCCGCCGGGGGTCGTGCGGAGGGGGCACACAGCCCTGACATGTGCCCTGCCGCCTGCTCAGCCTGCTGCGGTTGGCTGGCTGGGTGCAGGAGGAGGGCATCACCCCACACCTCGCCCTGCTGCCAGCCATCAGCCCCGTGCGCAGCATCGTGGCGGAGTGCATTGCGGCCCTGGGTGAGGCGGGGGCAAGGGAAGGCGTTGACGGGGTGGCTGGCTGGGCAGATGGGTTGGTGGTTGGCTGGGTATGGAAGGCGGTGGTGCGTCACCCTAAACTCTGGTCGCAAGGGGTTTGACGTCGAGCTGGCCTGTGTGTATCCCCGCCACCTGCAGACGGGCCCGAGCCGGTGAGCCCGTTCATCCTCAGTGCCCTGCACACCCCTCAGCCGCCCGTGCCAGCCCTGGCCCCGATGCCTGTGCCCCAGTCTCCAACCAGCCTGGCACCAGGGTCCACACTGATCAGCATGCCTCTTGTACCTGCGGCGGTCCCTGCTGCCTCGTCCACTGCCCCTGGCGCGACCAGCGGGGAGGCCGAATCGGCGGCGGCGGCCGACGCTGGGCCGCCCAGCCGTGCAGGCACCCCCGCCAGGTCGACTGCAAACGCAGCAGAGGCGCCGGCAGAGACCCGGGCCTCGTCTGAGGGGCAGGCAGCCAGGAGCGGGACGGCAGCTGGAAGCAGCACGGCTGGTGGCGGGCGGGGCGCTCGCGACGGCCGCACTGCTGCAGCGGGTGGGGCTGGCAGGGCTGCTGCCGATGGCGGCAGCAGGGGCCGCGGCCGTGTGCCGCACGACCGCAGCGGCATGCGGATTTGGATGTGACTGCCTGGTAGGCGCCTGGTGGTTCCCTGTTGTAGAAGTGTTCAAGAAAAGTTCTGGCGCTGAGAGCACGCCTTGCTTTGCGCCGCAAACGGTGTTTGTAGCGGGCGGTCTTCCTGATAGGTAACTGGCAGCGGGTATTTGCCCCTGTTCTTTCGACGACTCCTGATGTTACTTTCTTTATAGGCTGTTACACTATTCCAGACCTCACAGCGGGCTCTTTAAGATGTGAAGAAGGTGGCGCAAACTTCAGAACTTAATAATGACGTCTATACGAGTATGCGCGGTGGAGATGCAGGCGTTGCTGCGGTCTCTGCCCGCGTCTCCGGCGGCCTGTGATCGCCTGATGCATTTCGCGTTCGCGCTGAATGAGAAACTTGCGGGGTCGCTGACGCCAACGCAGTCTAGGCGCACCACCACGCCGCTCCCGCCTTGCCGCCTGGCGTTCTTCCGCCATCTGGGTGGCTCTGCTCCGCGCTTTGTTTGAAGATGTGCAGGGCATCTGCCCCCCCGTGCTGCAGGGCTCTGGCCGGCCTGATAGCTCCCCTGTCCCACTTCTGCACCGAGCTTACGGCCGCCGCTTCCACGGCGGCCCCCCTACCATCTTCACACACCATTTGCCTTGGGAGCGCCATGATGGTCGATACACTGCTGTTGACTCTGATTCAGGCTGCAGTCAGCGGGCAGATTCGGCTGTCAGAGGCAGACGCGCTGCGGCTGGGGTCTATAGGCAGCATCCCGCTGCAGACGCACCTGGCACTGTTGCATGACATGGCGCTGCGGAGCTCAGACTTGGATTCTTCTTGGAATCACTTTACGTATTGCTGCCAGATAGTGTCTACGCTGCTGCGTTTTACAACCACGCCAGGCATGTTCCCGCCGCGCGTGCTGGCAGCGCTGAGGGCCACAACCCTGCGGCCACCCATACTGCTGGGCTGGCTACAGAAGAGCACGGCCATTGCTGCAGAGCTGCTGCGGCAGGGCGGTGAGTCAAGTGTGGCATGCATCGGCAGCAGGGAATGCGGGAGGGGCACCACGCATGGGTTTTGGGCGCCATCTGTCCAGCCTAGCTAATCCCTACCTGCGTACCACCCTCTGCAGGACCCAGCCACGTTCCTGTCAACCTCTTTGACGTCTGGACAGACGTGCTGCACCCTGAGAACAAGGTCCGCGAGCTGCTGGAGTGCCAGCAGCTTGCGCCACTGCACTCGTCCATTGTGCGGCTGCTGGTGAGCTGCTTGGCTGCTGTGGACCAAGACAGCGTGCAAGCCGATCCGTCCAAGGCCGTCGTATGCCTGCAGCTGCTAGGGCTGGCCGACCTTTATCATGGCCGCCACACACACGAGCTCGACACCGGTGGCGCAGCGCTGCACGCGACGGCGCACGTGATGCGCAGCCTGGCAGCTGCTGATGCGGCGCTGGCTACAGCGGCCAGCGTTGGGCTGTTTCTGTGGGGGCTCAACTCCCTAGCAGTGCTCCTCAGTGACATTGGCGAGCTGGGGGATAGTCCAACGCAGGCAACGGTGCAGGCACGCGAGCGACTGATTATCGCTGCCACAACGCAGCTGGGCGACGGCACGCTGCAGGCCATCCTGCAGCTGCTGGCATCGGTGGCGGCTGCTGCACCTGGCACCTCGCCTGCGGGCCAGCTGCAGCCAGCTGCAGCATCATAATTATGGACCACTTCTGCAGCCGAATTCACTGGCGTGTTGGACAGCCTGGCTTGTGGCATCAGGTGGGTTGCAGCCGGCTCCTTCCTGATTGCCCTGCTTGCTGCGCAAGCAGCAGGAGACAGGGTACGGTGTGTGCGCATCCTTGCGCTGTGGCAGGAGCTCTGCTGCGCATACCTGCTGTTCGGCTGGTCTCCTGCCATGGTTTGGCAGCGCTCACCGCCACACAACTGCGCTTCTCCCTCCCTGATTTGGTGTTGTTTCTGCAGTCACCTTGAAATGGATCCAAGCATGCCTCTGCCAGTCAGCGGCGGCAACTGCGCGCCGCTTGCTGCGGCAGCTGAGGCGATGCTTCGTCTAGCTGTGCTGATGTCTCGTATGCCTCTCAAGGTAAACGGCATGGCAGCCGCTGTGCCAGCGGGCAGCTTGCCGGCAATCGCCGACACATTTGGGGACTTGCTTCAGGCCAACCCCGCTCAGGCCGTGGCAGCTGCAAGCCACTGCGTTGCCTACCTGCTGCCACGTCAACTTGGCAACACGATTTCAGGCAGCGGAGGAGAGGCAGGCATAGCAGCCGGAGAGGCAGATGTGGCGGCAGCATTCAACAACGCCATGGCAGCATGCAAGTACGAGTGGGGAGTTGCGGCGGCGCTGGACGGCGCCACAAGCCTCGACGCCGCACCCTTCCAGTGCGCAACGATCCGGGACTGGGATGACATAAGTGTGTTGAACGCTGCCTTCATGGCAGCCTCCGCAGCTTGGCACCGCAGGCTAGGCACCCGCCTCTCGGATGCGGACAGATCAGCAACAGAACGGTGAGGACTCCTAATCATGCAGCGCCACCTGCTTTGCACGCGCCGCTGCTGTGCTGCCCCTCTCATGCCACCTGCGCTGGCCTGTGCCTGCAGGCAACTGCAGTGCCTGACTGTGTGCTATTTGGAGGCTCTGACGGCGCGGCCAGGCTGGCCAGGCGACCCTGATGGCAGCGACGCGGCCCTGACCTTCGCAGCGCTCAACTTCATGTTTTTCACCCCCACGTGTGCCGACCTCCTGTTGGCCAACCATGCCGGCCCTGTGGCAATGCTACAGGCCATGGAGGGCATTCTGCGCAGTGTAAGAGGGGGCAGGCTGCGCGCGCACAAAGCCGCGCTGCTGCCTTGCTGGTCAACTGCGCGGTGCATTCATCGCCGCTCCCCTGCACACTGCCCTTTCATAGCCTTTCCGTTCCCCGCCTGTGGTCTGCAGCGGCCTTGCAGCGAGTCGCAGCACGGCGTCGTGACATTTTCCTGGGTGCTGCAGCTGCCCGGCGAGCTGCCACACCTGGCGCCCCTGCTCCTGCGGCAGCGTGCGTTGATGCGCCTGCTGTGCCAGCTGGCGTCCAAGCCGCCAGCAGAGATCGACAGCTCCTTCCCCACCAGTGATGTCGCACCGCACCAGGTGCGGTGCAGGCCTTCTGCCGGCCGCGCCTGCTGCCTGCCCGGCACTGCCCGTCGTGCGGATTCAATAACGGCCCTGCTTCTGATCCCGGCCCTGCAGACCAGCCAGATGCTGCTGCACCTGTTCAGGCGGGTGGCAGCCTATGTGAAGGGGAGCGGCGGCAGCGGCGGGGGCGGCACCAGCCTGCACCCTGAACCGCAGCAGGCAGGGGCCGAGCCGCCAGCCGTGCTTGCCCTGCAGCAGTGCGAGCCTGCAAGCTTGGGGCTGGCTGATCTGGCAGGCCTGCTGCAGGCCTACGTCGACAGCCAGCCCAGCAGCGCCAGCCTGCCCCTGCCGGCAGCCCCCATGACGCCTGAGGTTGCGGTGCAGCGAGCCCGAGCCCTGGCCCTGCGCAGCTGCGCCAACCCGCGGTGCACCGACCTGTCTGGTCCCAGCGAGGCGGCGCTGCGGGGGCGGCGCTGCGGCGGGTGCGGCGTGGTGCGCTACTGCAGTGAGGCGTGCAGCCACACCGACTGGCGGGCGCACAAGGCCGCCTGCCGCTTGCTGAAGCGGCAGCGGCAGCAGCAGCGCGAGGGAGGCGGCGAGGCTGCTGTGTAGCAATAACCCGGCTAGGCCTCCTGTTGCTGTAAGCTGCATGTTCCTCCTTCCAATGCGGCAATGAATTCTAGGGGCCCCATGAAGAGAATGGCACAACAAAAGGGTGCGGTGGCGGGTTGGTGAAAGTGGCGGTGGCTGCCATGTCAGCAGGCGATCGTATTGCTGCAGGCGTTTCCGCCCCATTAGCAATTGGCGGAGGGGTGGATTTCCTGTGAATTCGGCCACCAGTGTTGCAGTCCTTGGGGAGGCAAGCAGGCCGACACCATCCCGCATTGGGCCCCGATCAGGCAGTGGGACGTCATCCAGAGCGCACTGCAGGTGCCGATGGGCTGCCGGCGATCCAACCAGCTCCCTACACCCCGCCCATGGCCGCCATGGCGGCCTGACCGCTCTCTGTGGCGCTGCGCACCGCCCCAGCAAACGGCCTGGCGGCTGCAATAGCCACGGTCGATCCTAGGCGGGGGGCTGGCAATGCCCGGGCTGCCGCTGCCGCCGCCACTGCTGCTGCTCAGCCTGTGCGCCCACCTGGATAGCCCGCCTATTGGCTTGGTAATCATCTGCTGCCCCTCTGCCCCTGCAGGGCACCCGGCAGACAAAATGGCGCCTAGCAGCAAGGAGGCGGCCATCGGGATCGACCTGGGCACATGCTTCAGGTCCGCCGCCCCCTCTTGTGTCCTCCCGCCGCACCAAGCGCATAGCCGTCTCTTCTGCCCCATCCATGTATGCCTGCCACCGGTGTTCCTCCTCTCCCCCTTCACCTGCGCGCGCTTCCACCTCCCCTGCAGCTGCGTGGGCGTGTGGCGGGACGGCGGGGTGCAGATCATCGAGAACGACAGCGGCAGCCGCACCACCCCCTCCATGGTGGCGTTCACCGATGAGGAGCGGCTGGTGGGGGAGGCGGCCCGCAACCAGGCCGCCCAGAACCCTGTCAACACCGTGTTTGACGCCAAGCGCCTCATCGGCATGCGCTTCTCGGGTGCGCCGCCGCGCCGGCTGGCGCCTGGCGCCCGAGTGCCGGCAGCCTGGCGGCCGGCCTGGCTTGGACTATTGGCTGGGTGGGCCGCAGCCGGCGCGGGTCCCCAGCTGCCCTGGCTTGCCCCACCTGTCACCACCTGCCCTCCGCCGGTGCCTGCCCGTTGCGCAGACCCCTCGGTGCAAGGCGACATCGAGCACTTCCCTTTCAAGGTGGTCAAGGCCGACGGAGACAAGCCGTCCATCCAAGGTGGGCCCCGGGAGGTGCCCACCTGGCGGCTGCAGCCCCGCTGGCACTGTTTGCATTGCCCCCGACGGCAGCTCGCCCCAAGCCCGGGTTTTGTGCCGCACCATACCGCCGCGTTGCGCAACGTACCGCCGCGTTGCGCTGCACATGTACCGCAGTGATGTACCGCGGGGCCACCAAGACCATGGCACCTGAGGAGGTCTCCGCCCTGGTGCTTTCCAAGATGCGGGACATCGCCGCCGCCAAGCTGGGCACGCCCGTCACCAAGGCAGTCATCACAGGTGGGCCCCGTGCCCCTGCCCCTGCCCTGCCCTGCCCAGCCCTGCCTGCGCCCCTTGCCTCTGCCCTGCACCTTACTGCTGCCAATGTGTCCCGTGGGTCTCCCCTGGCGCCCTGCTGCCGCGGCTGCCGGCGCTTCTGGCCGACGCGCTGCGGGCGCCGCTGGTTCCCTGCTACCTACACCCACCCTTCATCTGCCGGTCGGTGCTGCCTGCTGCTGTGCCTCGCAGTGCCAGCATACTTCACTGATGCGCAGCGCCAGGCCACCAAGGTGTGTGTGGAGCGGTGGTGGTGGGAGTCGTATATTAATTGGCTGGGTGGGGCGGGTGAAGGAGGGAGTGGAGCTTGCCATTGCCACATGATGTACCCAATGCTCCTGCTGCTCCTGCCTGCCCCGCTCACCTGCCTGCCTGCCTGCCTGTCCCGCCTGGCCGCAGGATGCGGGCGCCATTGCTGGGCTGGAGGTGCTGCGCATCATCAACGAGCCCACCGCCGCCGCCATCGCATGTGAGTGGGCCGCCCTGCCCCGCCTCTGCGTTGCTGCGTCTGCATGTTGCTGGTGTGGCGTGGTGCCGGTGGCTGGGGGTGTGGGGGGGGGGGTCAGGCTGTGCTGAGGAGCTGTGGCCAGCCCAGCCCAGCCGGCTGCCAGCCGCATCCGCCGAGTCCAGCCGGTTGCCCTGCCCTGCTGGCAAGGAGTGCCTCACCACAGCACAGCATCACTCACATGTTGCTTGCTTGCCTGCTCCCTGCTGCAGATGGTCTGGACAAGGCGGCGCAGGTGGGCGCCTCGCCCACCCCTGCGCACGCCTCGCTGTGTGCCCGCCCCAATTCGTACCTGTAGTACCTTCCCCTACCTGTACTACCTTCCCTGACGGAGCGCCTGCCCTCATCCTTGCCTGCTGCCCTTCCCCGCTGCGGCCTCGCCCTGTCCCTGCCCGTGCAGGACGATGAGGGGCGCAACGTGCTGATTTTCGACCTGGGCGGCGGCACCTTTGACGTGTCGCTGCTCACGATTGAGGACGGCATCTTCGAGGTCAAGGCCACGGGTGAGCTGGCAGCAGCCGGAGGGTGGAAAGCACGGCGTGGCGGGCGGAAGGGCGGGTCAGCGGCTGGCGCGTTTGCAGCACGGCGTGGCGGCGGCGGCGGCACAGTGTCATGTGTGGGGAGCGGGGCTGCACAGAGGGCCGGGCTCACTGCCCACTCCGCCCACACCCACACCTCGCCTGCCCGCCTGCTTGCCTGCTGCCCCGCCGTGCAGCGGGCGACACTCACCTGGGCGGATCCGACTTCGACTCCCGCCTCGTGTCACACTTTGCTGACGTGAGCCGCTGGCAGGCGCCCCGCCGCCTTGCCCTGCATGCCCATGCAGCTGCTGTCGCCTCCCACGTGTTCCCTCCTGCGCCCTCCTGTGTGCGCCCCGCCTCCTAGTGCCCATCCCACTCCCTCGCACAGCCCCACCCGCACGCGCGCACCTGCTAACTGTCCCTTGCGCCTGCCCCGCAGGAGTTCAAGTGCAAGACGGGGATGGACCTGACCGGCAGCGCGCGCGCGCTGCGCCGCCTGCGCACCGCGTGCGAGAGGGCCAAGTGCACGCTGTCGGCCTCGGTGACGGCGGCGGTGGAGCTGGACCACCTGTTTGAGGGTGGGGCGGGGTGCCTGCAGACATCCACACCCCTCCCTGAAGCTGCCTGCAAACATCCACGCCCCTCCCGGCACCTGCCCCTCCCGAGGATCCTCCTGAGGGCGCCATTACCCAGCGCAGCAAGCGGCTGCGTGCCCTCCCCTTTCTTCTCATGGTCTTCCTGACCATCACGTCTGCTTGCGTGTCCTCCCCGCCTTGCCCTCCCTCGCCCCCTCCCCCGCCTCGCCCCCGCAGGCAACGACTTCTTCTCCTCCATCTCCCGCGCCCGCTTCGAGGAGCTGTGCCAGGACCTGTTCAACAAGTGCATGGAGCCGGTGGTGAGCC